ATACCAAAAATAATTAGTTAAAATTATGATAGAGATGTGTGAGACAGAGATGGGTATCTCTGTCTCACACATTATTTCCGTCGTAAGTTTACCTTTGTCTTACACATAGAAAGCGCAATTCAAATTTTATTACGAATTAAATGGTGCTTTTGAATTTTGTATGAATTTATGTTAAATGACTTGATAGAACCTCAAATTAAATAACCAACCAAAGTGTAATTTAATTTTATTTTTTTAAATACAAATTTGTATGGCTTCAATATATTTTGGTACTTTTCCAAAATTAAAAAGAACCATTTATTTCAAAATGAAATTTGATGTGCACTTCCTCGCGCTTTCTATGTGTAAGAAAAAGGTAAACTTACGAAGAAAATAATGTCTGAGACAGGGATGGGTATATCATAATTTTAATTAATTATTTTTTGTTTACCGATTTTTTTTTTATTGTGACATGTCATGGATTCTAGCAGATCGAAAGGTAACAAAAACAAAAATAAAAAATCCAGGGCCGTATTTTAAAAAATAAAGTTGATGATGGTTGCTAGAAAAGGAACGTCAGATTTCAAATAAGACAGCGCTATCTTGTAAGGGAGGCCACAATAAAGTGTCATTTATTTTGATATATCTTTTCAAATAACGTCAGAAAAATATAAAAAAGATTTTATGAAATTTCGGTTTTTTTCCGGATATCTCCGGAAGTATTCGGAATATCCTAAATATCCAAGCGGCATTTTGCTAAGCATCAAATTACGCAACTTTGCCCTGATTACCAACCCTGTCACCGTTTCCGAGATCCCAATGATGTGGCTCAAACTTGAAACACCCTGTACATACAGTAAATAAAGTATTGGCCCTAGCACTGACCCTTGGGCAACTCCTACATTCAAGTTATGTTGTTCACTACTCTCACTATTTATTGTTGAAAAGTGCTTCCTTCCAGTAGAGTAAGATTTTAGCAGGTTATAGCATGGTCCACGAAAACCCATTTTATATAGTTTGCTTATCATTAACTCTATATTAACTGTGTCGAAGGCTTTTTGAAGGTCAACAAACACAGTTATGACATATTTGCTTTTGTCCAACTCACTGGAAACATATTCCAACATATCCACTGCTGCTCCTTGTGTGCTACTTTTACATTGAAACCCATATTGCTGTTTATCAAACTTAAAATTTGTTTCAATGAAATTTACTAATCGGGGCTTAATAATTTTTTCTAACATTTTGGAAAAAGTACTGAGTAGTGAAATTGGCCTATAGTTATTTATGTGATCATGCTCGCCTTTTTTGAATGATGGGATGATTTTAGCAATTTTGAGTTTTTTAGGGTGAATTCCAGTTTGCAGGACGCTATTAACAAATTCTACCATTTTTGTTGCAATAATGTAATATAGAGTTTGCAAATCTTTTTTCAATATACCATTAATGCCTGGAGCACAGTTGTTTTTTTAAGGTATATTGATTGTTTCTTTCATTTCTGTAATGGTTGTTGGTTCCAGAATTATGCTTTCCTCAACTTCCTCCTCTTTGAAAAGAGTTTTTGAATTTTGTTTTATTTTGTCTGCTAAAGTATCTCCTATTTTGGAAAAATGCGTATCGAATTCTTGAGACATTTCTTTGTTATTTTTAGCTAACTTCCCAGTATAGTTGATTATTTGATGTATTTTTTTAATTTTATTTGCATTACATATTTAATTTAGTACTGCCCAAGTCTTCTTTGATTTGCCCGTTGCTTCATTAAAACGTCTTTCTGCATACTGTTTCTGCAGTTTTTTTCTAAGGTTGTTTAGTTTGTTTTTGGCTTTTTTGAACTCCGTTTCACAATATTCATTTTTAATTCTTTTCCACCTAACATACAGTGCGTCCTTCTCCTTGAGCTTAGATAGGTAATTGTTTGTTATCCAATAATTGTTTTGTTTTATTTTTATACTTCTGGTGGACAGTGCGGAATGGGCAACACCCATTGTCCCTGTAATCAAAGCAGACAAAACCATAAGGATTTGTGGTGATTATAAAACAACCGTCAATAAATTTTTAAAACCCGTAAACTACCCTTTGCCCCGAATTGATGAAGTTTTTGACAGGTTCGGGAGGCCCAATTTTTTTCAAAGATTGACTTGCATTCTGCTTACAGTCAGCTGGAACTTTCTCAAGGTTCTTCTAAATTACTGACGATTACTACCCCTAGAGGGCTATTCAAAGTTACCAGAATGCCTTTTGGCATCACTCCTGCCTGTATTTTTCAAAAAATTATTAAACAAACGTTGCAGGGCATCAGGGAGGTAGCAGTATTCTTGGACGACATTGTAGTATCAGGGGAGTCTAAAGAGCAACATTATGAGAATTTAAAATTAGTTTTTAAACGTTTGCAGTTTGCAGGATTCACTGTACGTAAAGATAAGTGTAAGTTTTTTGAGAGATTTCGGGGTTTAAAATAAATAAATATGGGTTGAAGAAGATGGACAGTAAAGTTCAAGCTATCACGGAGGCTGAAAGACCTCAAGATGTGAGCGAAGTTCGTAGTTTTATAGGATTGGTAAACTATTATGCAAAGTTTGTCCCAAACTTAGCAAAAATTTTGAACCCAATTTACGGCCTTTTGAAGAAAAATCAAAAATTCTCTTGGAGCAGAGAATATGAAGAGAGCTTTGTGGAAATAAAGACAGTCATGGCCCAAGATATAACAATTTATCATTTCAACCCCAAACATCCCATTGTTGTGACAACTGATGCTAGCTCTAAAGGCATCAGTGCAGTTCTAAGTAACCTTATTGATGGAGAGGAAAGAATATTCGCTAGTGTTTCCAGAACTCTTCTCAGCTCAGACAACAATTCATTTGGAAGGCTTGGTCATTTATTTTACTTTAAACAAATTCTTTGATTATCTAGCTTGTTCCCCTTTCATTCTGAGAACAGATCATAAGCCTTTGGTCACTATTTTTGGTGAACACAAGGGAATTCCTCAAATAGCAGCAAACAGGTTGCAGCGATGGGCTGCATTCCCGTCTATGTTCGATTACAGAATCGAGCACATGAAGGGTTCTCAAAATCCAATGGCGGACTACCTGTCTCGGAAGCCTGTGGCAACAAAGGAACCAGACAACCTGCGGGACTCCTACCTAAACTTCACAGAAACGGTCGATTCAATGACAAAGAACTGCAAGAGGTGATCAAGGGATTAAAAACCAGGAATTGGCCAAAGCACACAAAAGACAGCCTTAAACTATATTTCCATAGACTACAGGACCTCCACATTGAGAATGATGTTCTGATTTTTGGACATAGAATTGTTATACCAGCAGAATTGAGACAGAGATTTCTCCGGGAGCTTCACTCGTCCCATTTTGGAGTTTCAAAAACCAAAGCTCTGGCTAGGTCATTCATATATTGGCCAGGCATTGATGTTTCAATTGAGTACATGATAAAGTGTTGTAGGACAAACAGAATCCACCAAGAGCAAAGTTGACCCCATGGCGTTCAAGTAAAGCTCCTTTTGACAGGGTCCACATTGATTTTTTTTGGTCCAGTTAACAACAAATTGTATTTCATTTTAGTGGATTCATTTTCAAAATGGATAGAGGTATCTCACAAAGGACGGAGGACGTGAGAGCATCTGAGATTTTTGCGAGGTTTGGTTTGCCAAAGGTGGTGATGAGCGATAATGGACCCCAGCTGGTTTTGGTACATATGGAAAATTTTTTCAAGAAAAATGGCATCGAACACACACCCTACCATGCCCAGAGCAACGGAATGGCAGAAAATGGCGTAAAAACATTAAAAAATAAATTAGAAACAGCCTTTTAAGACCCCAAAAACCGAGGCATTCCAGCAAGCACAGTTTTGTCAAGAATTCTATTCACTTACAGGACTATGCATCACAACGTCACAGCATCCGCAGAAATGATGTTTGGAGGAAGGACAATAAGGACGAGATTAAGTCAGGTCGCAGAAAAAGATAATGTTACAGAAATTACACAAGAACCAAAGGAACCAGATGACAAAACCTGGCACAAAAGACTCAACCACCAAAAGGCCCAAAAGTATAATTTTGGAGGCAGAAATCGCCCAAAATTCAGTAGTAGGAGAAGAAACTACAGTGTCACGAATACAGAGAAATGGATCAGACCGCAAATTATAAAACAAATCGGTAGGTCAGTTTTTCAATGTAAAACAAGTAATGGTCATATATATAAAAGACACACTGATCAGATTCAAGTTTGTACGGACTCGGGAGGGCCCAGGGCGCAACCACAACCTGCACAAAGTAACTCATTTAAAGCCGATCCAAGTTATTTCTTTAATTTACCAACCATCACTCACAGTAAAACAACAAAAATCCCTCAAATAAAAGTCCAAATGAGAATGGCCCCAATCTCTCCCAAGTTACTCTGGAGTCTCCTATAACTTCAAATGGCGACACCAGCTTCCATAATAATAGCTCTAATAATAAAAGTTTTAAGTCAATTTCCAGCTATAAAACTGATGGTGATTTAAGTTCCAAATACTCAGAAACTCAGGTGGCTACGCCATCACAGAAATTCTTGACAGGGGAGCAGAGTGAGAAAGAGTTTGCATGGACCAGCAGACAGAAAGCCTATAAAATTGGCTGATTACCATCTCAACTCAGAGTCTGACTCAGATACTTGAGATGCGTCACTATTGCAATTCGAATTCTTTTTGTTCAGATTTTTAGTTAAATTTAGCAAAATTATAACAATGAATCCTTTTGCCCCTTGTCTTCTTTTGATGTTTGTTTATTAAAAATTATTGTTTGTAACAAAACCTTTGCTTTAAGGTGTTTAAAATTGTAAACGAATTTACGTTATTTTAATTGGGGTATGTAAAGTTTTATAGGGCTCCCTGTGGACGGAACGTGACAGCGTGACCAGTCTGCTACCGAACCAAAATCTAGATTCATTCACCCTATTGTACCCCTTTTTACCAACCTGTAAAATCGTACTGATTCTGTGATAATAGACCAATTAAATAACTCGTGTCTTTTATTTCTCGCAGTCATCACAATATTCATAGGATATACCAATATACAAAACGTCAAAAACGATTTTAATTTTACAAAAACAAATCGCACTTACCTCCTGTGCTAGTTTAGTTGCCTCCAAGTTATCTCCACCTGCTGCTGGATCTTTTTCTTGATCCATGTCCTAAAAGAAACCAAGTAAGAACAATGTTTATGAAAATAATTCATTTACTGTTAAGTACCAATGTAATAATGATATACTGATAATTTTGTCACACCTTTAAAAATGAATATTCTTATCAAATACTAAGAAAACACAATTTTTATCGGTTTAATATTTTGACTTTAGGTGAACCAAGAATGTTCGAAGTTCAAGTTCTTTACCTCAACGTTATCAAAGTTAACAACCCCAGTCGATCTTCTCTTAGGCCGTCTTCTTCTCTGAATAGCCGCCTGCGTCGCTAGTGTCGCCTGGGCATTCCTTGCGTCGTTTTCTTTATCTTGTTCTAGAAAAAAACCAAATATTGTATAAATCAATCCTTAACCATCAACCAATCAATATTACCTTTTTCTTCAAGAGACTTGGGCCTTCTCAAAGGTATAGTGACAGTGGTTTCAGCAGTATCGATTGGTGCTGAAGAAGGCCTGGCAGCATTCGTAGTAGGGTTCAGTCGTCTGACAAACGAAGGGGTCGTTGGGGTTTCTCGAGTTTCCGGTTTGGTTGCGTCTTCTAATTTGAACTGTCCAAATAAAACAATAACTTATAAAAAAAAAATATTCAATTTTAAAGATTAAATTTATCTCTTGGTTCTTGGCATAAATTTAATCTTGGATTGATAAAGCAGCTCTAAGTAACTTCTTTTTAATAATATAACCCTATACTCTGCCACTGAAATAGTAAAACAAGCACTGAAACAAAACAAAAATAAAACACAAAATTCAATTTGAAGCATTTTTATTAGAAAAGCAACAATAATAAATAAATATTTAAACAAGTTTAAATATTATTAGTAGGTATAAATAATTTAGTAAAAAAAATAATAGGTGAAGCAAGTTATATAAATATTTAAAAAAATATTTATATAGACTATAAACAAATTAATAAGAAATAAGTATAAAACTACTTATTTTTATTAGTTAGCAACAATAGAAGCGAAAAACTACTATTTACAACACTAAAAATAATGTACAAACCGATAAAAAAAATCAAACAATAAACTCATTTTTTGGTAGTCTTCCTATAATCATACTCAAAAATCTTTTGCCAAACGTTCCGAATGAAAAAATAAAAAAAATTGAAGAGGAAGACGAAGCTACAACTAACGAAGACTACTGCTCGGTAGCATGTCTGAAAAAATAAAGATCAAGCAAAAATCAAGCAAAATAAAGCAATATTAAACACCTACCTAAGTGGAACAGTGCGTCCATACTGGCAATAATTGATACAATTGAACACTTAAAACACTGTGAAAACTTTCAGCATCCATACTGACAACAAATTGATTAGGAAATATGGAGGAGTAAACAACCTTGGAATTATAGTGTACAAGCATTCTGTAGTTCAGAAACTCCTCATTTTCATATCAGAACGATGAGAGGTTCAAAAATGAGTAGAACTTAGATTACTCTCTAATTCAGAATTTCCACGTATTAATTCAGGTCAGCACATTTTTACAGTTTTTTCATACAACTTTGAACTTCACATGAACTTCAAATTAATTTTTCCATATGAAAAAGACTTTGATTCATTAATCCTGAAAGTTTCAAGTCACTGTGATCATTAGAAGTAGTTTGCACAACTGATTTTTGCATATTTTAATCATTTTTGCATGCATTAACGTAAGAGAATGCTACAAAATTTAATTTGAAGCTTCAAATCAACTTGAAATTAACTTTTCCACAAAGAGGAAACTTCAATACATAAATCCTGAAAGTTTCACGTTACTGTGATCATTAGAAGTACTTTGCACAAGTGATTTTTACATATTTTATTCATTTTTGCATATGAACGAACCTCTGCGGGACGAGCGTAGCGAGTTCCGCAGTCATATATTCATGAAATTTACTCATTAGTTCAATAACCCATTCATTTTTAATTCAGAATTTTCACTCTTTAATTTTCAGGTCAGAATCTTTACTCATTAGTTCACAAACTCCTCATTTTTATATGGAAATGACTCATTAATGCGATGAGATATGCATTCAGGAGGAGGATAAGAGTGCTCTTTTTGGTTTTCCCTGCGATATCTGTCATAGAATAATGTGTAAAAACTGTACTGGCTTCTGAAATAAGAGTTGTTCCGTCTGCGTCTCGAGTCCTACTTCATGTCTTCCCGGACTGCAGTGAATATCTGATTATGGTGCCAAAATTAATAAACAATCATGGAAACTGAAATGAAGTCAGTTCGGGAGGATTTGGAGGATCAGAGAGAGTCATGGGCTGCGGAAGCAGAGGAAATTAAAAGATCACTTAATGAAAACAAGGGCATGTCCGATGATCACTTAATGAAAACAAGGGCATGTCCGATGAGTTGACGTGTGTCGGTGAACCCTCTCAGATACCTCTGAGTGGGGATTGTAGAGAGACCACTCAGGAGACTATATCTGAATCCATGTCTGGATTGAGGGGGGAAAATCTGCGAGGGTTGAACGCACAGACAGGAATTATCGAATCACATTTATCGCAGGTTGTCGACAACATAGTTTCGGCAAACAAGGACCTGGTTAGATTCCTGATGGGGAATTTTGCAGGGGATTGTCGTGAGCGGGTTACAAGGGCTAGCGGAAATACATTATCTGCTAAACGTTCCAATCCTATAGAGACAAAAACCTACAGGGCCCCCAATAGACTGAAAGCTGCCAACAAACATGATAAAGGTTCTAAGTTAAATAACTTATAATCCGCTCAACAGCCAAGGCCCGCACTACCCAACTCCAACCCGCGTTTGAAATCGACATCTGCTGCCACGTCTGAGCGTATAATTTATTATTGGAACGGGTACTCTGGGAATGGACCTTTCTCTGCCGGAGAGATAGTGGCTATATTTTGGCCGATGTGATCCTGCAATCAGTAAAGGAAACATAATGGATTATATGAACCAACAGCTTAGTATTTCCGACGTTAATCTTTGGCCCGTAGGTACGACTGTAAACGAATTTCGAGCCTATCACCCTACAAATAATGTTGGGTCAGCGAATTTTCAACAGCGCAATTTGGGAGACAGTCAGACTTAGAATGTGCATCAATCTTCTATCAAAACGTCAGAGGCCTGAAAACAAAGCTTAAGGAGTTGTTCTGCGCTGCACTTATTAAATCATATTCTGTCATTGCATTCACTGAAACCTGGTTGGATTCCTCTGTTAATGATTCAGAGTTTCTGGATACGTCATACACTGTTTACTGTACTGATCGAAGTGCCATTAATAGGACAAAGGGTCGTGGTGGTGGTATCTTACTCGAAGTGAAAAGCTTCTTGAAATCCAACCTACTGTTAATTGAAGATAACGATTGGCAATTCGGTATACAGTGTGGGCTGCGTATACAGGTCAGGCAAGTTAGCATCTTGCAGGCCAATTTCAATGCAATAGAATGAAATGTCTAGAAAAAGTCTAAGGTTAAATGGAGAACGAAAACGATTTCCCCTGGTTCCACCTCTAGCATCGAGCGCTGGGAATGCTGGAGGTATAATAGGGGAAATCGTTTTCGTTCTCTTTTTAACCTTGGACTTTTTCTAGACATTTCATTCTATTGCATCAAAATTGGCCTGTAAGATGTTCACTTGCCAGACCGGTAGGTGCGCTTATCTCAATTTATCTGCATAGTAAATAAGGATAACTCTATATTAGATCCTTGTTTTGCAAACTTTGACCTAAATTTGGCTAATAGCTTTTTTTACGACTTTAAGTCCGCTGATTTTGAACTAATGAATAATTATTTTCTGTCCTATGATTGGTTATCGATTTCAAACGAGGATTTAGAGATTACCATAAGTAACTTTTACTCTGCCGCGTTCAACTCTTTTGATTTGTTTATGCCTGCAAAACAGTGTCGCTCTAAGGCTCTAACGACAAATTTCCTATCTGGTTTTCAAGTGAATTGAAATCCCTAATCTTTCGAAAGAAAAAAGGTCACAACAATAGGTACAAGCAGTCAAATTCGGTTGTGGTTTACAGCAGATTTTCTCTGTTACGTGGACAATGTTCGTCCCTGTCCAAGGAATGCTACAGTCTTCACGTAGCAAACATTGAAGATTCTATCAAGGAAAAAGCCAGATCCTTTTGGAGCTTTGTTCGTTCGCAGTCAAATCAGGGTTCCATTCCTAAGGAAATGTGTTTTGACTCATATAAAGCTGATAGTGGTTGTGACATAGTCAACCTCTGCTCAATTTTCCTCTTCAGTTTATAACCCTACAGCTATTTCTAACGAAAGTGTTTTTTCCACACACACATTTCAGTCAGATAATCAGATTCAGCATTTGACATTGAAAAATCGCTCTCTGAACTCGACATTAATAAGAAAAAGGGCCTCCCAAACAGAGTGTTAAAGCTTTGCTCTCACTCCCTGTATCTCCCCCTTTACATATTTTCAGTCACACAACAACCTCAGGAGCAGTATTCTTGAATTTCCAGGAAGAGAACTTGCTTGGGAATTGGACGTGGTTCACCTCAAAGAGGTACATGTCATATTCTTGAAAATGGGACTGTGAAGTGAAAGTTCCCGGGAATTCCAAAGTTCCCATCCTCTTACCCAAGAGAAAAGAAGTTCCCGCCAGGGTTTCTAACCCTGAAAACTTGACATTGTTTTCAAGCTTGATGTAGTTTTCGTTTTCTCCTTTCAAATTCAAGATTTTTTCATTTTTGTATGTGTTGTGTCTTTTCATTAAAATGAATGTGGATTATTTCAATGAGATTATCTTTAATAACATAACATAATCCAAGAAGACATGAAAAATACTGCAGAAGCAAAAGAAATAGGATGGGATGTTCTGCCTCAAAGAATTCCTTTTCTCTTGACCAGAAATTCGTAAATTTTTTAAGAGAAAGCAAAAATGTATGCCACGAAATAGTGGATATGGTTACTCCCGTATGTTACCGCTCCAACGCGAGTCTCGGCTTTAACCAAAACTACAAACGTAGATGTACATTGAACACAGTATTCCAGAATTCGATGAGCCACACGAAGTTCAGGAACAGGAATATGGAATTTATGCTGCAGAAGATTATGCGGAATTTTTCCTCATTTATAAAAAATCCCATAAGAGGAAGGGGGCTCGTTTTCTCTTGGGTGAGAGGATGGGAACTTCAGAATTCACGGGAGCTTTCACTTCACAGTTCCATTTTCAAGAATATGACATGTACATTTTCGCGGTGAACCACATCCACTTCCTGAGCAAGTTCTCCTCCCGAAATTCAAGAATACGGCTCCTGGAGTGATTCCAAAAGTCTGGAAATTGTCATATTATTATGTTTGCCCATCCATAAATCAGGACGCAAAAATAATGTGATTAATTACAGACCAATCAGTATTCTCTCAGCTATACCTAAGCTATCTGAACACTGTATTGAAAGAGTTTTGTTGGGTAAGTTTCACCAAATTATAGTTAATTAGCAAATCCTACTCTACGTCAATGACGTACTATTCCTTGCAATTTCGAGAGAATTCACGGCTTTCGCAGATGATGCTACCGGTCTGTGGACTTCATAAGACTCTAGACAATTTTCAGACAACCATCGAAAACGATCTCTCCGAAATAAAGAGGTGGTGTGACACAAATAAATTGTGTTTTAACGTAATAAACATACTCAGTCTTAAGTGCTCTTTAACTGACATCAAACTAGAAGGGAAATAGAACAACTGTGAAATTTATTGGGTTGCACATTAACACACAGCTGAAATTTGACACCCATTTAAATAAAAAATTTGCGAGCGGGTGTTACATTGTTAGGACTGTAGTACAGGAACTTGGAGGAAAAGAAGCCAAAACAGCTTATTATTCACTATTGGAATCACACATCAGATACAGGATAGCTTTCTTGGGCTACTCTACACAAAAACCTATACAGAACAAAATAGGGCCTTACGTTATCTTTGTAAAAAAGGCTGTAGAGAAACCTGTTGACCGCTTTTTGTACGGGAGGAAATATTAACGGTGCCCTGCATTTTTATTCTTTCTCTGATCTATAAAAAGTTTTCTGGTTTTATACAAGACAGGAACTACAGTCTAAGGCAAAACTACCTACCGCTGCCAATACCAAGGCTTTCCCTTACAAAAAACTCAATAATATATGAAAATGTAAAAATGTTTAACTATCTTCCTCAAGACATAAAAGATGGGGACTGCTATGAGAGCTTGCATTTGTCTGTAAAAAACTATTTGGTCGCCAAAGCATATTATGGTCTTACTGAATTTTATGTGGTAGCTATAGTGTTATACTTTATAAATAATGTCAGTTAATGTAAATGTTGTAATGTGTTTTGAAACATGGATTTACCTCCGGCCGCTCCGTCGATACCAACTTATTCCTATTCACTAACTTTATCAATAGATCATTTGAAAACGGTTGTGAGACACATTCCATTTATACTGACTTTAGTAAGGCCTTTGATTTTTTGGTTGGAGTTACATTTATAAGGTAAAAATTGATGGTTGTCTTTCGACTGAGTTTGTTGTTACAACCTGGGTCCCTCAGGTATCTCATTTGGGACCTCTGTTATTCAGTTTATTCATCAAGGACCTAGGTAATCTACTTTCCTCCAAATTTTTAATGTTCGCGGATGATTTGAAGATATTTCAGGAAGTATCATCAGCTCATGATATTCTCTTGCAAAATGATCTGAATATTGTATATGAGTAGTGTAAGCTCGACGATATGTCACTTAATATCGAGAAATGCTGCTTTATGCGCTTCACCCGCCTGAGAATTTCTATACCAATCGAATATTCCATAAATAATTTTGCTCTAACTGAGGTGTTTGTTGTTAAGGACCTTGGCGTTTACTTCGACACCAAACTTATGTTCGTAAAGCACATCGAGGATTTATTAGGTAGGGCTAATAGAATATTTTTTCATTAAAAGAACCAGCAAGGACTTTACTCATATATTTGCTTTGAAGGTGTTGTATACGTCACTGGTTCGATCCATTTTGGAATTTTCAAACATAGTTTGGTCACCATATTATCAGGTTCATATACAAAGACTCGAAAATGTTCAACTTAAATTTACAAAATATGCTAAATATAAACATTTTTGCAATGGCATTGAACTTGATAATGATCAGACTATGTAATATCTGGATTTAGCATCTCTTGTCCGCAGAGGAGAATACTATGATATATGTTTCACATTTAATATCCTGAACCATTGTATCAAGAGTCCGGAACGTTTGGAAACATTCCGGTTTTGTATACCTTGCTATCCAACACGTACCAGGGCCTTGATGCATACCATTTTTCCATTCTTGGTACTTGTTGTATAGTTCTGTCAATAGAGTGTCCTTGAATGTAAATAAATTTTGTGAGATATTTTCAACATGTCACATATGAGATTTAAAAGTTGCGCAAAAGGGCTGTTTAAGGGAAGGTAGTTTTAAGTTATTAATCTTGCTTGCAAACTTGTAAATGTCGATATGTTGAATAAATAAATAAATGAATTAGTTGCTGTTCTGAGGTTCAAAAATGGATAGAATTCAGTTTACTCATGAAATGTACTTTCTACTCATTAGTCCAAAATTTCGTTTATTTTCAGTGAAATTCCAGTAGAATTTCGTGAGATTTTAGTAGGATTCCAGTAGGATTCTGTTAAAAGTGGGATTCTGGTGTACATATTTTTCAAGGTGGTTTACCACCCCTCGGGAAATATGTTTCAAAAAAATCTGTATCCTGAAATACTGTTGCCAGATTGTCTTTACTCAAATTGCAACTTGTTGCCAGTATGAACGAACCGCCACAAAGTAATTTTTAGATGCACACCCCAAAAATGACATGAAATATGATTCACCCTGCATATTATACAAGCAATTCTAGCAAACACATGCAAATAGAAAATACATTATCTGGTTCTTACCTTGCTACCACCATCGACTTTTAATCGCCACGAGGGGCGCCTCTCGTGCGATTCTATGGGAGCGGTTATCGAAGCGTTACCGTCAACCGGACTGCCATTGGTCGAAGACGACTCGCCCTCCGGTCCTGAAGAGGGCGCGACAGTGTCTGTCCTTGTAATCACTGTGGGCGTGCCCGTCGAAATCGTTACAGATACGCTGACAGCCGGGTTAGTAGCACTGTCCCCTTCTCCTTGCTGTGTTAGTCAACGGGTTAGAATAATTTATTAGAATAATGAAGGAAAATTATTATTATTATTTTTTTAAATTCCATCACCATGAAAAAAAAAAACAACAAAAGTGATGATTGAAAAAAAACAAGGACCCAAAACGTGATTGATATATTCTTACCGTATCGTTGTTATTATTATTTGGTTGATTTTTCAACTTGACCAGTTGCTCAGCGGATTTGATTTCTTCTAAAGTCACACCCTGTGTGGACCTTCTCGTCTCTCTCACTCGTTTGGCGTGAGCCTTACGTTGCGTTTCGCTCTCTTCATCTCTTACTGGAGGCACAAAAGATCTGGAAAAAATTATTTGTTATTTAAAAAAAAAAACATTAATAAAAACGCACAATGTTCAGATACACCCAGTGTGGTGCATCATGCAAATACTAATCAGGAACTGGAAATATTAGTTCCATAACACAAAACAAGGGTTAGATTCAAAATTTAGAAAAACTAAACACTCAGAAAAAAAATCCAACCATACTTGAAGAAGTTCTTAAATATCTGGAACCGGGTGCCGCCTGGTGTTGTGGGCGTGATTACAGTAGTTGTAGTAGGTGTAGTGCTGCCATTGGCTGAAGCAGGAGTGGATTGGTTCAGAGCCAATCTCAGACCACTATAATAATCATTTTTTTTGGGCTATTATATAAATAATTCAATTTAATTACCTTCTATAGGATGACTGATTGTTTTGGGGCTGTGGACTAGTAGCCGGTGATGTAGTTTTTGTAGGCGATGATGTCAGATTGGTACTATTGGCAGTGCTAGTGCTGACTTCGTTGCTCTTATCGTCCTTATTGCTCCTGAAACATTAATAATTTGTTACAATGAAAACAACCAAGGCCTAGTTGAAAACCTTTTTACTGTTATCATTATAATTTATATTTAAATAAGCAACTAAAATGTAGTTCCGTGCATAAATAAATTTACTATGTAATGTGTAACAACCTTGAATAAATTATTATTATTTGATAAAACTGCAATCGAATAAATTCTTCAAGCTTCGAAAATGAAGTGTTAATAATTGCTGCGTACCTGTAATGCGACTCAGTGCTATTGGTTAGGATGATATCAGACTTAGGCCTGGCTGAAGGAGTGTTGTAAGGGGAAATGACTGCATTGTTGGTAGTGGTATCGTTATAGGCTTGAATACGCGCATGCAGGGCCTTGTATTTCGTGTAGAACCTAAAAAGCGGAGCGTGGTGTTAAATGTTAGCAATGCAATACTCTTCCAATATCAATCATTTTAAAAATCTGAGAGTGCAATAACTGTTCCATATTAATATTTTGCTAAGCAGTTTGCATTATAAAACAAAACAAAAAAAACGATGTAATTTGATAAAACAAATACAGATTTTCTTCTAAAAGCAAAAACTGTGTCAGTGTAAAGCTCATGCTTCAACTATAACAAGCAGCTAAATATTGTATCAAAAACGACACATACTCGTGCAGAAAAATTTAAATTCAAAATTTTATAGAAAATAGGATTGAGACTTGAGAGTACAATTTTGTTATCCAAAAGCCTGTTAAGATGTTAATGAATTATTATCCAAATGTCTATGATGATTAAGCCAATGACAATGATAATATGACAAATAAATCAAATTTGAATCAAACATTTAATTAAAATAGAACCAAACCACTTACGACTCATCATTCTGGAAGCTTTTGGTTCTCCTGAGTGTAACCTCATTTTCATTGTTGAGATTTGAAGATATATTCTTGTAGTCTTCTGCAAAAAGAAACATCACAAATTAATGGCAAAACATTTAATCAATATAAAAGAATTACTAGTTACTCTAAAAAACCAGTTTCTAACTAGAAAATGATTCACTCACTAAATCCAACAGAGCTTTTCTCGGGACTATTCATTTCCGATTTGGGCTTGTTAATTTGCTGTCTCCAAGGCATTTTTTCTTCAGAATTTTCTATAGTTTTAACAGGCAGAGGTGGTTTGCTTATCTCTGGCTCTTTGATCGTCACCTTATCGTTTATCGTTAGGGAATTTACCCTGTTTTTCTTCTCTGAAAATGGAAGGACTAATGTAATTTAAAAAAATCAAGCAAACATCTCAGCTCCAGAAAAAAAAAACCAGTTCAAATAAATAGTTGGTTACACTTAAAATAGATGAAACTATTAAGTTTAAATGAACTAGTTTTGGTTTTGGATGAAACACAGTTTTGTTAAAATACAAAATACTAAATGCAATGGATGTTCCTAAAACTTACAAGCTATTTTCGCAACTTGAAAGTTTTTAGAAAAATCCTATAGAAAGCGAAATCATGCAAGCACTAAATTATACAGTAAATTAAATATTAACGTCCTCATTCCTTGTTATGGAGTGAATTCCACTTTGTTGAAGGTTACATTAGGATCAAAAATGCTTTAGTAAATAATTACAAAAAGCCGTATTAAAAATGACATTGAAACATTTAAGGGCGAGAATTTACCATCTTCCTCTGAACTGGCTTCTTCTGATTCACTTTCCGACGTTTCTGTCTCAGTCTCTGACTCGCTTTCATCAGACACTTCCATTTCTGTTTTTTTTTTTGGGGCAAGCAAAGAGAAAGAAAAAAATTGACATTTTAAAAATATTCTGGCTCAAATCTAATCCAAACCAATTAGCTTAAATCAAGCTTTTCAATTAAATTTTTGCACTTACCAATATCATTATGCTTAGTATTCTCTTCAGGACCTCCTGTTATCTCAACTTTAACTTTTTTAACTTGAGTCTGTGAATCTGGCTCGATTGTTCTGTCTTGTGTTTCCACACGTTTTTTAGCTTTTCTTTTGCTCACTTCCTCCTTGTTTTGTTTCTTTTTGAGATCTTCCAGGAGACCAAGCATGTCGTTATCTGCCAAATCAAATGCCGTCTGACCCTAAAAATGTATCATTGAATTTGATGTATAATTTTTCGAAATTCTGTTGACTTTACAGCATAATTTTTAGCATCCATATCAACCAAATTCTCTACTAACAAACGACAGGCTTCTTTTTGTCCCCAATGAGCAGCGGCGTGAATAGGGCTCCATCCATCTACATCTTGGGCATCAATATCAGCTCCACACTGTAGCAAAATCCTACAGAAGAAATGATAAAAATATATAGTCATGATTTTGCATTGTTTTATTAATTATTATTTTTGCCTGCTACTTTAAGGCTTCCTTATCTTATTCTTCTTCATACTAAAATTGGTACGTGAACTTACTTTATAACATCAATATAACCTTTTGCTGCAGCAACATGCAAAGGAGTAGCCCCTGTTTTCAAATGGGACTCATTTACTAAGGAACTTTTAGTTGCCAACCATTCTTTGGCATCTTTAAGCATGGCTATCTCTTCATCGTTTCGAGCTGCATCACAGTCAATACCTACCTCCAAAAATAATAATATAATCAATCATAAAAGCAATATGATAATTCACCTCTCTGTCTAATTTCATCCCTTAACAAATCCTCCATCTTTTGGCACTCGGCTATATCGATAGCTAGTTCGCTGTCGTTGTTTACTGCCGCGACATTGGCCCCTTTTTCTATAAGATATTTGGCTATGTACATAAATCCGCAACTGGCTGTGGCGTGTAGGGGCGTCCAGCCTTCGTTGTCGCCCCTGTTTACGTCGGCCCCTTGATCTACTAAGAATTCCACCATGTCTAAGTTGTCGTCTATGCATGCCTGAAATGGTCAAATAATTTTTGAGATTGTAGTTGTAAGAACGTGAAACAGAACTTTTCCTAGTTCTCAATATTTGCACGTGTTCTCTGTACAATCATTAAATCTTTATTGGCAGTTGCTGCAAACTCCGATATTAGTCAGCAACTAATTTTAAAGTAAAACTATTTTTACACAGTGTTATTTTTATGTTTGGTCTGTGTTGAGATGGTCGCACCAGAGTTTGAGTCTGGACTTCTGATACTATTTGTTACATATTAGTTTTTTTTTACAGTTTTTTCATGGAACTTATTAATAAACATTTTCAAATTTTGATGTGTGAACGCATTTATTTGAAGTATGTAGGAGTAGCTATAGAGAAAAGGTTTTTTTTTTATTAATTTTAGATTTTCTCACGTTTAGAAAAAAAAAATTATACTTGAATTTCAAGGAATACTTATCTAATAATCACATATTTAACAACTGATAATATTAATTGATATCTAATATTGACTATTGTAGAACTAACTTCCTTTGTCAATATGTATTTAGCTTAGCAATTAAAGCTTCAAATGAGACATATTTATTTAAATAGAAGGATGCAAGGAATGATGATTTGAAAAGTTTTCCTAGTATTTTGGTCTTTGGGAATCACTTTTTGAAGGAGAACCTATTTAACCTGAATATCTTATTATTAGTACAATGTTATTATTAATAATATTATTATTATTGTAAGCAACTCCCTTCGTCATAATTTCAAGGGTCTAAGTGTTTATACTTTTAAAAATAATTTAAAACGCTTTGTGTTGGATAGATCACTCTGTCTTTAATTTTAAATTGGTGCCTACTGCTAATTGCTTTGTGATGCTGGACTTTTTTTTTTTGTGATATTGTTTTAATTATTATTTTTATTTCTTGTAACTAATGTTTATCTCTGTTGTTAATTTCAACTTCTAATTTTAAGTATATGTTTAAGATTTTATTATTATAGCAAAGGGTGGTTATTAAAATACGCCTGGCAGTACTTTCACCTTTGTATGGTAATTTTTACATGCAATAAAGATTTTTTTTTTTTAATATAAAGCGGTCCAAACCGATAAGCCTATTGCAATTATATAATGTTTTTTTTTTATGTGTGAGTTCAGTTGGATTATCTTTATACACTGTAGCGATATTTAGGTATTAGGGATTAAAGTCACATGTAGTGGGAAAGTTGATTTCTTAAGTTGTCCATTTCTTTATCCAGCGTGTTCTTGAAGGCGTTGACAGTTGGTGCATTTACAGTAGATTCCTGAAGGCTGTTTCATGCGTATACAACTCTTTTGCTCAAAAAGTTCTTTCTCAAAAGCAGAGCAGATCTTTCTTTGTTCAGTTTCTTTAAGTGGTAGCGTAGTTTTCGTGTATGGGAAATTTGGAAGCGTGCCAGATCGATTTTTGGGTTGAAATAACCTGTTAGTACTTTGAAGGTTTCAATGAGATCACCTCTTTCTCACCTTTCTCTTAATGTATAGGGTGGACCAATTTGGACACTTTTAATAGGAAACATCACTTTCTGAGCGAGATACAAAAAAATGAACCCCCCACTTTGAGACTCAAATTTCATGAAATTTTGATTGGTGCAAACGGCATTTTGTTATCTTCAACCGTTTAGCCGCTAGAGGGCGATTCTCGATTTTAAGCAATACTGTGAAACCTTCATAACTTTTCTTTCTGAAAATAATTGATTTCCGTGAAAACTTTCTTTAGGTACTTTTTTAAGCAGAATTCAGTGACGTTTTCAGTTTTTTTCTAGATGGCCCCAATTTCGAGATATTGACCTAAGTCCGATTTTTTCAATAGGACACCCTATTTATCAATAGTTCATTGGAAAGCTCTGCTTTTGCTGATTTCAATGATACAAAGTTCGCTAGGTTTATCTCTAACAGTCTTGGAGAAAAAAATTATTTCGGTTCTTGTCATAAGAAACAATGTGTTAGAAAAGGACTTTATATCTGTAAGGAAAATGAGAAAGGTTTGGTGTAGGTGGATCGTCCTGGTAAAAATCCATGTTGGTCTGCAGGAATAATGTCATTTTCCAGAACAAAATCCTTGACTTTATCGGCCACAACCCTCTACATTGACTTACATAAAATGCAGGTTAAACTTATGAGACGATAATTTCCTGGGTTGTGTTTGTCTCCCTTCTTGTAGATGGGCGTTATGAATATGATTGCTTTGGTCCACTCATTTGGCACTCTTCCATTCTCCATTAGATTGTTCATTGCCGATGAAAGTGGTTCACTTATACTGGCTGCTGGTTTTATTCAAAAATATGGCTGGAATGTTGTCAGGTTAAGATTTCTTAAAACTTTGCAAATTTCTTCTGACATAAATTTGACTGTTGGTATTTGGGCAACTGAATGTTCTCTTCTTAGTCTTAGGAAATTTTGTACTGTTTCTGTGGTGAAGACTTTCTCAAATTGATTCGCCAAGGTTTCCGAAGTCTGCTTTATATCTCCAATTATATATCCAATATCCTGGTCTTTTAGAACAATAGATGTAGAGTTTGAATTGAGTGTTCTTTTTATGTAGGAATAAAATTGTTTATCAGATCTTGTGAGCAAACCGTGTTCATATTGTTGCTTTGCTTGTTGCTGCATATTTCTGAGTAGGTTGTTTTGAGTTCTGTATTCCTGGTAAGACTGGGGAGTTTTGGGGTTTTGGTACTTGTTCCAGAGGTTCCTCTTCTTTTGAATTTCTTTGAAATGGTGAGGGGTTTATCCACGGTTTTTGAGGATTTATTCTATTTTTTGGTTAACTACAAAATAATCACTGCGACCAATTGGATTTGAAGGGTAAGTTTGTGTAAATAATTTCCAATATCTTCATAAATAAGAAAACAGTATTTGAAGAATAGGAAGCACAATGCAGTTCCTAAGAAGATTGCTTCTTTAAGAATATTATTATGTATTTCAAGACAGTCAGAAACACCATTCAAATTCAAATTCAAATATATTACTAAATTTGAGTTACATAATATATAAGTCCTGATATGAGTTTAACATCTAATTCAAATAACAAAAGTTTTAATCTAAGATACAAATGTTCATCTTTTTAATATACTGAACACTATATTGTAACACAAAAAACAACATGATGTTGGTGTTTTTTTGATAAAAAATAGACTTTCTTCCGAGCTTTCTTCAGACAAATCCCATGCCTGGGTATACAACAAAGAGAAAAGCTTCAATAATTAAGAGAAAGGGTTCCAAGAAGCTGTCTGATACTTCTTAACAGTTTGGTGAAAAAATGCAATAGAACAATTTAGATGGAAAACCCTCGGAAAAACCCTTTTCTTTAGTTGTAAATAATTTTTCTTGCCTCACAGAGGCTTCACAGAATTTCACTATTTAGGAAAAATAAAAAATTCTATTTTCATCTAAGAAATTAAAGGTATCCTGTATCATAATCAAGGAATTCAGGATTCAACCTATAAAAGTTAGGTTTTCACCGGTTTTCACCAAGGTTTTAACTCAGACTTTTAGCTATTGTTATTATTTGTTATTGCAATTTTATATTAATTTAGATTTTGTTAAGTGCATTATATCTGTATTCGTTACAGAGTCCCAGCCCTAGATTCCCAGCTGGTGTTTGTTAACAATTTAAATTTAGGTTATTATTGTCATTACTGCCGCTTGGTTTTAATTTTTGATTTTGGCAAGGAAAGTTAGTAGCACTAAAATTTTCTGTATATTTGCACCAAAAAATACCTAGCTAATCTCGTGAAGAAATTCATAAATAAATACTTATTTTCATACATGTAGAAACACACATAAAAATACACATATTTAAAACGCGAGAAGCGGCTCACTCCCGAAATTGCTGTATGTACAGGGTTATTAGTTATAAATGTCACCCCCCTCTATCTTTTTTATTTGACATTTTAGAAAAGAGTGTCCCAAATAAAAGTTTTATGGTTGAAATTAAATTTTTTGAAAAACTCACTTTTGCATATACAGGGTGTTTCAGAAAAGCTGGTCGTGCTCCAAATTTCTTATTTCAAATGGAATACCCTGTATATTATTAGATATTCAGATTCTACGTAAAATTCTGAGCAGATTTCATATGGCATACCCTATACCTAAGCTCAACTGTTTTGGAAATATTGACAGTTGAAAATTGACTTTTTTGCAACTTCGACAGGCTGTAAATCTTAAACAGTTAATTTTAGAGCAAAACTGATCTTACCTTTTTATCTTAGATATTTTACCTGCCTGTCAAATTTACAAAAAAGTCAATTTTCAACTGTCAATATTTCCAAAACAGTTGAACTTAGGTATAGGGTATATCACATGAAATCTGCTCAGAATTTGATGTAGAATCCGAATATTGAATAATATACAGGGTATTCAATTTAAAATAAGAAGGTTGGAGCACGACCAGCTTTTTTGGAACACCCTGTATTTGCAAAAGTGAGTTTTTCAAAAAATTTAATTTCAACCATAAATTTTTTATTTGGGACAATTTTTTCTGACATGTCAAATAAAAAAGATAGAGGGGGTGACATTTATAACCAATAACCCCGGACCTATAAAAGGCTTTATTGCCAAGTTTAACTTTTTCATAGAATTTTTAAATTATATTTTGCTGGTGATAATTAAAAGCTCATTATCTCATTGAAGTTACAGGGGAGACAGGTCATTTTAAGGAGGTAATGATACAAAGGTTGAAATTTTAATGTTATGATTGACTTGTAGGTATTAGTTGGTAATGTGTCTAGTTCAGAATCAAATTGCTAATTCCTGTGTGTATTTTCATTTTTCTCTCTGAATTGTTATCTTAAACTTGGTAACCACATCAGGTATTATCAAGGGTATTATCTTGGGTACCATTAGAGAGGTAATAAGATAGTAAATAGAGGAAGATTTAATATGGTACCTACATCATCTTCCTCATTTAAATTAAACGATTTGGAGGTTTTAAAACTCTTACCTGATATTGTTCTATAAAGCTATGTACGTTTCCTAAGCTGGAAGAGCAAAGTC